GAATGGGTCTGTAGGATTGTCTAAGGTGTTAGACATAGCACAAGTTTGTTGCAAAATTCATGAGTACTCCTGTAATAAGATTTGAATATTGGATTCAACCCACGCTCATTTGTATCACATCATGGATTTTATCACGAGTTATCATGAGGCGATAATATCTTATATTCTTGAAACCAAGACATGTGAGTTGTAATTTACACGTTGGTTGCACATTGACATATGTAAACGCACCAGTAACTTGGTGTTATAAAACATATCGCTGTGTATGATTTGATGAGTAAGTACAAGCAAGCATTTGAGTCGAAGTTTATCCATTCCTTTTACCCTTAGAGGGATAAAAGCGATATATGTGGGTCCTTCGATGATTTAGTGATGACAACCCTAAGTGCTTGGCCAAGCCTGGACTGATTTGATTTGTTCAATTAGTCAGTCGTCATAAATCAAAAATCGGGAAGCAACACATGAACAGAGAGAATGATTATAATCCATGTCTCAGTTCATACGATATCTAGAATGGAGGAATATATGATCCCTTATCTAATGGACGCGTCATTTGATTAGTTCAGAGTTTGACATCGGCTTTTGAGAGCTAATATTGCTAGTCGGGTTTTGGAGTCGTACTTGCAATAATAGTTATTAGACTTATCCAAGTGGGAGACTGTTGGATTAGGTGTCTAAGCCCATAACTATAATTGGTATGTATTTGACCCGAGAGTAGCATGGTCCATTTCTGGTTGCCTTCATCAGGACAATTTGATAGGATGGATATTTGAGTAAGAAGTTATTTGTGATTTATTAATATATTATAAGTATAATATATTAATTGAGGAATCATTTATTTAATTATTATTGATCAAGAATTAATTTAGTGATCAAAAGAGACTAATTAAATATACGGGGATTGATTTGGTAAATCAATGATTCTTATGGTGTGGGCCAATTGTTATTTAGGATGGGCTAAACCAATATGGTGGTCCATGGATAGTCCATAGAGATTTAACCCATGGAGCCTAAGTAATAGGAAAGGTCATGGAGCATTAGGGTTTGCATGGTTGTAACCCTAGTTATGTCACACTATAAAAGGAGTCCCTAAATCACCAAATGGGGTACCCTAGTGTTCTAAGAGTTCATTGAGCCGATTTTTGTGCTTCATAACTTCTCTCTCAATATTCTCCAATTGTTCATGATGTTTGGGACTTGTTTAAGGCACAACACTTGGGGTGCTAAGCTCTTAAAAGGCCAATGTCTACAAGATACAACAGAGAGGTAATCTTCTAACTTACTTTTATGATTTATGTGTCAAATTGTATGCTAGTTGTAGGCTTAATGCTTTGGAAACAATATTGCATGTATAATTAGAGAAAACATAGATCCAAGGCATTTAGGGTTGTATGTACACCATAGGATGTTGTAGTATACCAAAACCCAATAGCTGTCAAATAAATGGGGCTATTTAATCTTCATGTTCCTATGTGTACTCTGGTCCTTGCTTAGAGTTCCATCGTACCTTGACTATGGGAATGTGGCTTTGCTTAATCCTCTTGACTTCGTGATCTATGATCTCGACTGGTTCCTCGACGAAATTGAGCTTCATGTCGATCTGGATTTCGTAGAGACGTACGTGTCTTCAGAGAGACATTTTTTTAGGTTTTGAAACGTGGAAGACATTGTGTAAGTTGTTGAACTCTTGGGGTAGAGGGAGTCGTTCAGCTATTGAGCCTATTTTGGCAGGCATCTCAAAAGAACCTATGTATCTCGGATTGTGTTTGCCTCTCTTGCCAATCTTAGAATTCCTTTCCATGAAGATACCCTTAGCATGAATTTATCTCCAAATTGCAATTCAAGTGGTTTTCGTCAAAAGTCAACGTATTTCTTCTGACGATCATGAGCCGTTCTCAACCGTTCCTTTATTTTCACGATCTTCTCGGTTGTCTCGTGAATAATCTCAGGTCCAGTTAGCAACGTGTTCCTTGTGTGTTTCTTTGCTAGTTGGGTATCACTGACTTCTACACAACCCAATGGTGAACGACAGTTTCTTCCATAAAGTGCTTCGAATGGTGCAACCTTTATGCTCGTGTGGTAACTATTGTTATAGGAAAAATTAAACCAATGGTAGGTGAATATCCCATGCATCTCCAAAGTCTATCACACATGCTCTGAGCATATCTTCCAAGGTTTGTATGGTCCTTTCTCTTTGACTATCTGTCTGTGGGTGGTAGGAGGTACTCATATCGAGTCGGGTTCCTAATGCTTGTTGCATTGATTGCCAGAACCGGGAGGTAAATCGTTTGTCCCTGTCCGATATGATCGATGTTGGTACGCCGTGTAGCTGGACTATTCGCTTAAGATAAGTCCTGGCTAACTTCTCCGGTTTGTCCGTTTCCTTAATAGGTAATAAATGGTCGGACTTAGTCAGACGATCGATTACTACCAAAATCATGTCGTAACTGCTAGGCATCTTGGGTAGTTTTGTGATGAAATCCATGGTAACTTGTTCCCATTTCCATTTGGGAAATTCGGGTTGTTGCAGTATTCCTGATGGTTTCTGGTATTCCCCCTTGACCTTAGCGCAGGTTAAGCACTTTCTCACATAGGTGGCGATTTCTACCTGTAATTTCGGCCACCAGTACCTTTTCTTTAAGTCAAAATACATCTTATCAAATCCTAGGTGAAGTGAGTATCTTGTCTTGTGAGCTTCGTCCACTACCAGACTCCTGATGTCCCGTATTTTGGTACCCAAATTCGGTCCATGAAACAGAAGGTTCCATTTTCTTTGTACTTGAACTGTTTCTCCATGCCTTGCAGGTATTATTTTGCTTTGTCCTCTTCCTTAAGTACCTCTACTTAGGCTTATCTAATTTAGGTAGGAAGGTTTTATTGGATGGTTATAGTGAGTGCTTTCACTCTGCGAGGTTTGACTTGTTCCTTTCTTCTTAGGGCATCAACTACTACGTTAGCCTTGCCTGGGTGGTATCGAATCCCACACTCATAGTTGTTAAACAGTTCAAGCCATCTTCGTTGCCTCATGTTGAGTTCCATTTGGTTTAAGATGTGTTGAAGAATCTTGTGGTTCATTTATATAACACAATTTGTGCCATACAACTTGTGTTGCCAGATTTTTAAAGCAGAAATTACAGCTCCCAATTCCAAGTCATGGGTAGTGTAATTATTCTCATGAGTCTTGAGTTGGCACGAGGCGTAAGAGATCACTTTGTCTCTTTGCATAAGTACGCATCCCATGCCCTAATGTGATGCGCCGTAATAGACAACAAAGTCTCTGGTTGCTTCCGGAAGTGAAAGAATTGGCGCACTACACAACATGTGTTTCAACTTCTAAAACACAGATTCGTGTTGTTATTTCCATTCGAACCTTGTATCTTTCTGGGTAGGTGCCGCGAGGGGTTTTGCTATTTTTGAGAAATTTTCTATAAATATCTTGTAATAGCCTGCCAATCCTAGAAATTGACGCACCTCTGTTGGCGTTGTGGGCGCTTGCTAATTCTTTATGGCTTTGATCTTGGAAGGATCTACGTGAATGCCCTTATTGTTAACCACGTGTCCTAGGGAATGTCTTCTCTGATCCAAAATTCACACTTCGAGAATTTTACGTACAATTTCTCCTTCCTTAACAACTCCAAAATGATTCCAAGGTGGTGACCGTGTTCTTTATTTCTCTGTGAGTATATCAATATATCATCTATGATATGATCACAAATCTGTCAAGGTAAGGCTTATAGAGGCAGTTCATTAGATCCATGAAGACTTTTTTGGAGCATTGGTTAAGCCAAAAGGCATAACGAGTTCTGAATGTCGTCTTTAGAATGTCGTCCTCTTGCATTCGAAGTTAATGGTATCCATACCTTAAGTCAACTTTCGAGTAGAATCTAGATCCTTGTAGTTGATCGAATAGATCATCAATCATTGGGAGTTGATATCTATTCTTGATCGTCAACTTATTCAGTTCTCAGTAGTCGATTAACATTTAGAAGGTTCTGTCCTTCTTTTTGACGAATAGCACTAGGGATCCCTATGATGAGAAACTCGATATTATAAAGCCTTTATCCAAAACATCATGGAGTTAACTGGACAACTCTTGCTTTTCCGAAGGGGCTAATCAGTAAGGTAATTTTACCACTGGAGCTGCCCCTGAGACTAGGTCAATTCGAAATTCAACTTTGTGAATTGGTGGTAGTTTGGGCAAGTCCTCCCAAAATACATCGGTAAAATCACATACTTGGGGTATGTACTTGATTTCCTTCTTATCGCGGGTGCCATTTCTAGATTCCTAAAGTTAGTGTCGAGACGTGAGTTAATTTGTCGGAATTAGCAAGTTTGTACTCTCATGTTTAGGTTGTGGTGTGTTAGTGTTAATGTTAATAGGATCAACAATAACAACACATATTTCATGCAACTAGGTATGTATAATATGTATCGTATATATCATGTTGCAGTCACCAAAACCGTGTGTGGTTAGGATAGGAAAAACCCTGTGATTACAAAACATACATTTGTAGGTTTTCCCATCACCGTAAGCCAAAAGAAAAGTATCCATATCACTCCTAGCTACCATGCTAGGTTCAAAACAGAAGAAAACTAAAAACCACAGTACACTATTAGAAGTTCCATCAGTTGTACTAAATGTCTATATACAAACTCTAGCCAGATATCAGAAAGAGAGACTTGAAACTCCACCTTATCCACCTGGAGCTCTAATCGATCTGCATGGCTAATCACCTCCTCCAGCACCCAACATTGATCTTGCATGAGTAAGGTCCTCATCTCCATCATGTCTCTCTCCTACTCCAAGTAATGCACCCTCTTTATGAGCTGCATTAAAGCTATCCTCAATAAGAAGAGCTCAGTGTCCATCGCTCCAATATGGTATGAGTGATGGGAGGTGCGGGACACCAAAAGAGAGATGGCGTACTCCGTAGGGGTATTCGGGGTAGGGGAGGTGCAATGGATGACTCCCCACCTCAAATCATGTGCCGATAGCCTCCTCATGCACCCTGGCTCGTATCTAGGGCATCCAAACGGCGTATCCGTGATATTTCTTTTCTATCGGTGGTGATGATGGTGGGACGCCGCCCTCTTCTGTGAGGGGTAGCAGCAACCTTCCTCGGGGTCTGCTTCACCCGAGTACCTGTGGGTGTACTGTAAGACCAATATGTGGGAGTGGGGCGAGGTGGTGAGGTCTCTGGTGAGGTGGCAGTGTCCTCCTCATCCGCATTGGGCTCGTACTCGGAAATAAGAAGCTCTAGCCCAGCCGGTGTGTAGTCGGGTGATAGGGTTGGCTTGGACAGGTGCTCAGTGGGAGTATAATCGGGCTCTAAGTCATCATCGTCCTCGAGGGTATCAACTGAGTCATCAAGTGTTGTACGTTCCTCCTCTGATAAGGTAGTTGCCCTCAACGATCCATCACCTGCCATGCTCTCAACTGCATAAGACATCAAACAGGATGATTTTTCTGAGAGATGTGAGGATCAATTAAATACTATATAATGTCACATTATAAGTATGTAATAGATAGTACCTGTAACTCCTTAGTCCCTCCACTATTTCGTAAGTTAGAGGTTCCTAGGGCGTAAAATCCTTGAGCGTAGATGTCTTTGAGTTAGCCATCTCCAGAAGTAGAAGTCTCTAAGAGAAGCTTCTGAGTATAGAATCCCCGCCTAAGCATCCAATCCAGAAGTCCTCAAGCGAGTAGATTGCCAACCAC